TCTAGTAGGCGGGGTGGCCGAATGGGCTAACGCGTGTGCACTGCACCGCCGTTGCCCGGCAACCTGATACATAAGACTTAGAAAAAAAAAATAGTCACGAGTTCGCGTCCCGGTTTCCGGATGAGTTTTTAAATCCCCGCCCACACTCCCTCGCCCGGGAAAACCCCGGTATAGCCTTAAAGGCAAGGAAGGGGAAGACAAAAAAAAAACAACGGTAATTTTATTCTCGAAAATAACTTCAGAATTATTGGGATCGTATCCAATCTTTACAATCCAAAATCCTTCATTAAATCCTCAATATTCCTCAATGTATCCATATTATCCAAAATATTCCTGAATGTTTCCGATTTGGGCCAATTCAGATACCTTTCCGTCCATAATGAACTTCAGAACCATCCTAATCGTCTCGTTTCTTACCTTTTTTTTCTTCAATCCCCGATAATCTCCCCAAGCGTCTGAAAAGTAGATTGCCTCATGATCTCCTAATTTAGAAACTTTATTAGAGTGCTACCAATGGGATGTTTCTGTACAGGTATTTTAATTCCATTGTATTTCTCTATAACACATTTACTAGATGTGTATTTATTTTTATACAGTTGTGAATACTATGTATAAAAAAAAAATATTGAGATACTATGATTATATTAAATACCAAGAAACTAGGAAACTAAACTCTAGTTAACAATTGTTGAAAATTACAAATCATTCCATTGAACTCTAAGTAAATAATTAATGACAACTTTCTAATTCTAATAATATACTGTTTGACTATGAGAGAAAAGTGGAGAGAGGTTGAATAACAAGAATGTGGGAGTTATTTGTTTGGTTTTTCTAGACTTTGATTTTCTCAGAGCAGAAGGTAGCGAATTTTATTTTATTTGAAGCATACATAATGAAATGCATTATAATTGTTTGTTACATTAGTATAGTCAGAAACAGAATTTTCTGTAAATCTGATTTTTGTTCCCCTTTAATTTACTACTACAATTAAGTGTCGACATCCCGCTGAAATATAGATGAATATTTATTGATTGAAACCCGAAATTCTTATGACAAAAAATATTTATATGTTTCAAATATATCATAACTTCTTGTTTTTGTGCGTTTTCTCTTATTTCTAATTATTGTGTAACTTATATGAAATTTGATTGTTTTTATAAAAGCACTCTGATTCCATTTTAACCGCTTTCCTACTCCAAATTGCGATAAGATACGCTTAATTATTTTGTTTATCTAACATGATGCCCAACCTTTTTTTATAAAATCGTCAATTATTTATTATTACCATGAATTTTATTTTATAGTTTTTAGTGCTGTGTAGTCCCCATAAAGCTTATAAAATATCACAATCACTCAGAAAATGACAACTTACTGCGTTCATACCTTTCACACGGCATGTAATAATGCAGACGGTTTAAAAGTTCGGCCCTTGGTCTTTTTTTTTTTTGGAATGGAGGTTTGATAATAAATTTTTATGATGGGAGCTGATATTTTGACGTATAATATATAATTTATTGTTCTATTCTGATTGTTGTAAATCAAAATCGATCTAATTTTTTCTGAGCTTTCAATTCAACATTTTTTTAGCCCCGTGTTCAACATCGAAAATCCTCCATAAAACAATATGAATCATTTGTTTTAAAAATTAGAAAAGCATATCGATAGCTGGTAATAGTTAATTCGCATCTGCAGGATGACTTATTTACAATGGACACAGTAAATGTATAAAATTGATTTTATACATTTAATACCAAGTTTCAGTATATTTTAATTGACACGATACAAGTATATTTTTCAACTGTCTCAGCAGTGATCGTAAAAGTTATCATCACAACAGCTGATTATTCATCAGATAATAGGTGAAATGGCATTATATCATTCACACATATCGCCACTCTTACAAATAAGAGATCATGCCAGTCGTTGGTGTGTAGTTTCATAATATTCATGACGTAAAATCATGTATAACTTTTTTTTTTTCATTTACAAGGTATTATTTACAAAGCCATAAATACAGTTGTTTGCAATTATTTTCAGGTCTCCCCCTCCTCCCATTAACAGTAATTTTGATGTTTTCTTTCAAGTACTGAAGTCGATGAAAATTCATGTGCTGAAGTATTGTGCAAAAAAATAAAATAAAAAAAACGTTGTTTAATCTTACATAGATCATTTTACAACTTTGGTAATAATTAATTTAAATTATATTTTGTTATTTTTATTTCTCTCTGACTATTTTCAGTTTTGACGATCGCGTTTTTAATTTTCTAATTGGTCCGTGTTGACCATGACTTGTATATTTTTTCCCACGAGAGATTTGTAAATATTTAGATGCTCTGAGTCAATTTGAACCAAGGACGAACCAACTGTTGTAAATAAAACATTCCTGAAATTTAATATGTAATGGGGGGAAATGGCTCCTTTACATAACTGCAAGTCACCTTTGTTTTTTCCATAAATGGTCATTGTTCCTAATTTAGATCTCGTTGATTTTTATTTATTAATTTCTTTTTTATAATTTTATTGCAGATAAAATTTACATTGAATAATATTAGCACAGTTTGGAAGTTATTTTTGTGTTCTGCATTTCTTCAATTACCTTTGAATTCTGAATATAATTGTTTTGTTGGGGAATTTCACACTCTTCAGCAATAAAAATTAACAGTTCTGTAACAGTATTTTAGGTAATATATTTCGAAATAAATATCACCCTTTCATGAAACTAACTCATTTCTTTGACTTGATTAGGTAAAAAAACAATTTTTTTAAATTAAAACTAATAATAAAATAAAATTCTAATTTTTTCGCCCCTATATTCTGCCACCAGGGGCAATTCCAATCTATATCCCCGCCAGTTCCGTTGCTTCATAAAATTTCATGTCTAAAAATATTTAATTTTCGATTCCCGTTTCGGATTAAATTAGTTTTGATCAGTTTTTTTTTATTTTACTAAAGGCAGATATGTCCTAACTTCGAGAACCTATTTATTAAAGTGAAGCCTCTAGGAAATAAATTTTTTTATTTTTTATTCTGTGTTGTACCTGATAAGGTTATCGCTCTAATTAAATATATTGGACTGGCAAATAAGTCCTTTCGGTTTTTCAGAGTGAAATAAAACTCAATATATTATCGACATTAAAGTTTATTTTAATCTACAATATATTGACCATTATGTAATATGTCTTTTTCCAATCTTTCCACTAACTGCATAATGCCATGTTCATAGAACGTCTAGAGTTTATTGTTGAAAAACTGATCCAAGTGGTTTTTTGTGTCCTTTTCCTTTTGGAATTTCTTTCCATTCATGGAGTTCTGCAGAGAACGGAATAAGTTTTAGTCACTTGAAGCTTTCATAAGGTCTGGTGAATAGGGAGGTTGGGGCAAAAGGCCTACCTCCATGGTCCATCCCATCCATGGCTCAATATATTATTGCGAGTGTCCAATGATGTGAGGTGAGAGGTCTGCCTACCGTTGTCTTTGGAACACAGCGCCCTTCCGATTTGCCAGTTCTAGGCGTTTATTTTTAATTGATTAATTCAAGTTTGTTAATTGTGAACAGTATATACTTGAATCAATTGTTTGTCCTGATGACAATAGCTCATAGAAAATACCCTTGAAATCCCACCATATGAAAAGCATAATCTTCTTTGGATGCAATCCGGGTTTCGACTTCCTTCTAGGAGCCTCACTTCTAGGTTCCCAAGATTTTCTACAGACTACATTATCGTAAAATGTCCATTTTTCATCTCCTGTTACCAACATTTTCAAAAATGGGTCGTTTTGTTGCCGTTTCCGAAATGAATCACGAACAGAAACGCGTGTTGCCTAGTTGACTTCGGTTAGAGAGTGAAGGACCCAAATATTAAGTCTGGAAAAATAGTCGAGCTTATGATGCAAATGGTTTTCTAGGCTTGTGTGAGACACATTTAGGGCCATAGCAATCTCTCGCACTGATTGGGTGGGATTTGATCAACAATGGTCTTAACGTTGCTCGTTTCAATTCCATGTGGGCGTTGTTATGCCCCAGAATAAATAATTATTTGCCCCAGCCGAACTTTAACCTGGATCCTTGATACTAGTAATTCAGTATACTAACTTATGTTACCCCTCTTCTTCCACATAAATCTCTTGCTCTATAAATTGTATTTATAAATTTTTTATTAATTTTACAACAATTTATTTTATTAAACGTTTTTTTCGATGCATTTAATGATCGTTCTTTGTACTTGTTGATCTTTATTTATTTTTTCATAATTACTTTTGGCCAGTTTTTATTACTGTTTGTTTATACATTAATGTTATCCTTAATTCGTATTCCCTAAATAAAGTTTTTACAGGTACAGATTCTGTACCTCGGAGGTAAACAACGTCATGTACGTTTTCGTATTTGTTCAGGGGAACCAATTAACTAAACTTGGAGCTTTTTTATAATTAAAATTTGTTTTTTTGTTACTGAATATTTACTCAAGAAGTAAAGGACACCATGTCACATTTCTGTCCATTTTTCAAGAAGCCAATTTTCCATATTTTTGAGATATTAAAATTATTTTGTCGTTTACCTCCGGGACATAGATATTTGATAGATTTATTACATTCTTAAAATAAATATTTATTTAAGAAATAATTTGTACCACAAAACACATAGTAACAAAGTTTTTTTGTGCAAATTTTAAAACTGAGCTATCCGTATTTGTTTTGTAGGTACCTCAAATAGTAGTTAAATAAAGGGAGTAAATCATGACTCCATTGCGGAAACAATGTTTGTGAATCTCACCTGTGACGAATGCATTATTTGTCGACCTTGCCAGTTTTCAGTTTTATTAACAAAATATACTGTACATTGGAGATAACTAATCTGAGAATTTTTATTTCATTTTTACTACGTTCTCTTTACATTGAGCGATGCGATTGGTGGGAGATATTGGTATCAGAATGGCGCTGCGTGGTGGGGACGCACTCAGGTGGCAGTTTTAGTTCTGTCATGAGTGAGTCAGTTGTGCATAATGATCTACCTGCCCATCCCCCTCTTGGGACCCTACTGCTCCTACATACCCGCCCTCCATGATGCACTATTTTTCGGTAATGATTATTATTTAATTTTGTCATTAATCAGGTAAAATTTGACCGTGATTAAAAAATGGTATACTTCTGTCCTGATGAAGAGCGGAAAATTCGACCGAAACTTCGGCGTACATTAAATTTATATATAATTTCATAATCCAATTTAATAACGTTGTGCTATTCATATATTTGACCTTACCCCTTTTTTTTATCTATATATTAAATATTTGCAATTTTTTGTTTTATTCATTTTTTTTTATGCTTGGAAGCTTTTTGAAGCCCATTTTTTTTAAAATAAAAGAAAACAACATTAATACAAGTTGTTGTTTTTTTTTTTTAGTAGTATTGTGAAATTATGTTTCCATGATAGGCAAAATGCTTATTATTTTGCGATTTTATGAAGTGTGAAATATGTATTAAAAACACTGTGCGACATGATGCTGAGTCTTTATTTTATTATTTTTTTTTTATTGTAAAGCGAGTATTTTGTATTTTATTGTAAAAATAGTAGAATTTAATATGTGAGTTTCATGAATAAATAATGTTTTTGCAAAACAAGAAAGTGCACGTAGCTGCAGAAAATAATAATAACAATAAATAAATGGACCCTTGGTCAGTGAACAAAATCGAAAACATTTTTGCTATGTTTCAACAATTTCTTCGGTTATTTACAATATTTCAAAATAGATTTTTTTTATGGAATGTGATAGTTCCTTGTAATATTTTTTCGCAAATATGGTCTGGTGAAAATATTACCGATTGAATCAATTATTGTTAATATAAAATCCGTTTTCAAAACTAAGTTAACGTGTTGTGAATATAAAGGCGAAATTATCTTACATTGGACAAGATCCTAAAGAGGTGGATTAGTAACTTTTAAAAAACTGAGAGCAGTTTGAGAAGCAGTTGCGATAGATCCTGAGGAGTGGAATTCTATATGAGAATGAACTTGATGATAATCTGAAGAGCTTAAAAATAAAAAAGCATGATGTGGGATGGGCTTCATCCTCTCTAAGCTTTTAAAGTATAAAAAAATCACAAAAGATTTTGAGAAGGATTCAAGAAACTCCTCCATAACCCTATTCTGGGCGTGTGGAAAGAGAATCGAATATCTTAAAATGGAGTGATGCAAAAATTTATACAATCCATTATATAAGACAATACGATGTGTTTCTTGTGCTTTAAAGGTTCTGTCAAAATGTTTATTTGTGAAGCTTGGCCTGTGTGCTGAAAGAGAATTAGGGAATTACTAAGCAGACTTCAGAAAGGAACTACCTGCGGTAGAACAGAAATCCTCGTTGAGGCTACTATGAGTTGGATTTCTGTCATATTGTGTAGTATGAATATTTGATACAACTTCTCATTATACGATGTTTGTCGCACGTTCTGCGTATCTAGTGGCGTATACCTGAGGCTAATCTTGGAGATGTGCAAAAAGTATGATGTAGTCACGCATAACATCTTTTTAGACTTTTTAAACAACATATTTGATGATAATGTATACCGAAATGAACTACTTAAATTACTGAAAGAGATTAATATACCGTAGAAACTCATTCGTCTTGTAAAACTAACCATTGAAGGATCAAAATGCGGAATACAATTTGAATTTGATCTTTGTGGAGAGACCTGGAGGTCCACAGGTCTTTCTGGTGAAAAGGCCATCAAGAACTCAGAAATCCAACCAAGGATCCTGTCTTACGGATTGCTTCTAATTACAGGATAAACAAACGAATTTGGCATCATAAATAGATCTTGAAGAGTATTGAAGAATACATTATTTTCATTGCAAGAGGCAGTCAAGAAACTCGTTCCTTGTGTCAATATACAGAAGACTAAGTGTATTTGGATTAATAAAGAAAGAAGATTACTTCGAAGCTGGCCCGTTTAGGTTCGAATGCATTGACGACGGTGTCTAGATAGGAACAGTGCACTTTGGGGCGTGGTTCTCTGTGTGCCTTTTTCTGAACGTTGTGGTTTCTTAATAAATTTATAGTATGGAGGAAAATTGCTTTATTTCACCCTTACATATCTACTCCTTCCTTTAAATCATTTTAATTTTCTCTATGACGTTTCAGGCAATTTTCCCCATTTTCGAGTCAAATATTTATATCATTATTATTTAATCCACATAATTATATTTTTAAAATAATTATTCTAAAATTTATTTCAACATTGGTTTCTATTCTCATCTGGGTCGCTTAATGCTTATTTCGGTGGTTCCGGAAGATGAATCTATACACTCCCACTAAGGCAAATACGTAACAGCAACCTCCAGGCAGCCATGAGAGATTAGGAAAAAGGACTACAAAGATCAGTTGTCGGACTATTTTCCCCCGCTAGTTACAGTAATAGTACAGATAGGGATGGAGATTAACATAAAATATTAAATATTGAAGGAGGTTAAAAGGAAAGTCAATGTTCAAACAGATGGTCCTTCGAGAACATATTCTTTTTTATTTATGATATTTACAACTGTATTAATAAATAAAATACATTTAGTAAATTTGATAACAGAAAATAATGACATGAAATCACTTGTTGAGAAACTACCCAGTGGTAGCACTCTAAAAAAAAAAACTGTATTTACAATAGGAGATTTCGAGGCTATCTTCTTTTTCAGACGCCTGGGATGGTTACCATGGATAGAAGAGGAAGCAAAGTTAGAGACGAGAGGATTCGGATGGTTCTGAAGTTTATTATGGAAGGATTGGTATCTGGATTGGGCCAAATCGGAAACATAAGGAACATTAAGGTCGCTATGGATTATTTTGTTGATGAAAAGTAAGGAGCATTGAGGATTTTCCGAAGGATTTTGTATTGTAAGGATTAGATACGAGATGGCTTAGTGGAGCCCCAAAGCTCAACTCCGTAAGTCCAAATAGGTCTTGTTGTATTCATGTAAATGAGGAGAACATGTTAACAAAGATATACACTTGTTCGATCTGAATTAATTGAAAAGATTCCTAATATTTGTGAGGACTATCCTACGGATGATCTTCGAACTCATAGGAGCAGGCAAATTTTGAAGAAGACGCTGGAAAAGATATCTATCCGACCTCTTCGACGCTCAGGTGTAGTTTATTAAGCTTCCAAGCTATGATAACTACGTGGGAGAGTCCACATTCTAAGAATGGAGAACATGCTGGTTTCCAAGAAGATCCTTACCTTTTAAATCTATCCAAGAATACTTATCATTGGAAATTATGATTCGTTTCAACTTGCTCCATTTTCTCGTGATATTCGTATATATATTTCCTGGACAGAGTCCATCAGAATCTACAAAAGTCCCTCTCGCTGCCTCAATCCTGTTTGAACTTTAAGTGAGATGATTCTCTTTGCACATAGACTCGGAATCAAGGATCATTTATACATCCCTTCATCAGTCTCATGAATTTACCGGCAACTCCTTGCTCATTCAATAATACCTTTCTGTCTATGGAATCATAGGCTGCTTTAAAATCGACAAATAAGACATGCATATCCGGAGCTAATTCTCTCATTTTTCGACCAATTGTTTTAGGATGAAGGTTTCATCTATGGTTCTTTTTTCTCTTAGGAATCCATCTTAGTGGTTTCCTAGTAAATTTTCGTAATTTGTATATTTCCAATTTAGAAGGATAAGCCGTATTTTGCAACAAAACGACTTAATAGTAAAAACAAGAGGAACCCGATAATTCTGAGAACATACATATATTTTCTTCTACTAAGATTATGTAGAAATTTCATTTTGCTTTTATAAAAATATTTCAAACGATTGATCATTAATTTGTTTTTTTACGTTACTAAATCAATAATTAATTTTATTAGTTATTTGCGTATTATTTATTTTATTCATGTCCTCAATTACGTTTTAAATATTAATAATTTTCTTTTATTACTAATTGTAAGTTTCTATTACTTTGATCTTTTAGTTTTTAAAAAGTTCTAATATCTTATCTATATATCTAAAAGTAGTCCATATATATATATATATATATATCTTTATTTTCAGTTTTTCGTTTGCCATACTATGTTTTAAATATTTTGATTTATGAAAAATGAAAATAATTCCATTTAATTTTTAATCCTTAATTCATTTTTTTTTTATTTCCTTACTTTTCGTAGGCACACGCATTTGAATACTTATGCTGTTATTGTATATTTTACAGTTTTTTATTAGGTTCCATATGGATTTTTTTTGCGAAGTTTTATCACATAATAATCCGGTCTCCGGTTATTCTTTTACTGACCCTTATTGAATTTCAGAAAAGTTGAACTCTAATTGATACAACGTTATAATCGATATTTCTTGTTAAATAATACAGAACGTTTTTTACAATGTTCGAATTAATCTCTTTACCTGGCATACAACATATTTCTCCAAGAAAAAGAAATATCTGTTATTCATAATAATGTATTATTACTTTTAAACAATGAAAGTCTGTTGTTTTTGTGTTGTTTTTTTTTTTCGTTAAACATAATAACATTTTGGCTATTTTCTATATTTTTGTGATTTTTTTTTTTCAAATGCCGTTAATGTGAGGTTCATATGGGCTTGAGTGTTCTCAGACTTGAATTTCTTGAAATGGTGTCTTTTCGATAGCCCATTATGCAATAATTGAATGTTTACTTAATCAATCTATCTCTGCTTTTATCGATAAAATCTCAGCCCTTTTATCGGTTACACTTTGGCTTGGTCGAGAATTTTTTTTTTTAATAATTAATGTTATCTGTTTATTATTCACGGATTGTATTTTGTTACGTAAGCGATGGACGATCTGTGGCAGACAGATTTTTTTTTTATGGATTAGATACTCCACTCGTTTACAAAAAAAATTACATAAATATATTGATTACACAATATCAATCAATACCTGTACTTTACTTAATATCATTTCTGAATCAGTTTGAATATTCTTCAATTCAAGGAAAAGTCTCCTTTAAATCACTTTCAACTCTTTTGCAGTAATTGCAACATCTGACAACAATTTTAAAGTCGAAATGCTCTCAATTAATAAGTTTAAAACGCCATTATGACGAGAAATCTTCAGATGTTAAAATTTAAAATTAAATATAAAAATTAAAATTTAATGGATTTACATTATATCCTTACCTATTCTTTAAATTAAAATTATAAATTTATGTTTTTAATGTTTTTGTATATTCAACTCGAGTGGGAAGGACAGCCCTTTGTACTGTATACCAATTTATTATATCCATAGTGAAATATCTCTATTTTACTAGTACCACATATTAACTGTGTGTACTAATAAGTATAATAACAAGAAAGGATTATATTGATGATTTTAAAAAATCCTAGTTTTATCTTGTAAAAACGAAAATATTCCATAAAAAAAAATATTACAAGGAGTTTTCTTAATATTTTGAATTTCTTTCTTTCTATCATTGGAGAATATTTCTGTAGATCACTCTGGTTCAACAGACATTTCAGATTGTTAGCTTATAGCTTAAAATTTTTTTATTTATTTGAGTTAAAATAACTTTTAAAATATATGTTTAAAGAAAATATATTGTCAGTTCATTACAATAAGTCACTAATTATCATTTCATACAATTAAGTCAATGAGGATTTTGATAAATATTTCTTCTGTATTGTGCACTTAGTATAACATTATTTTATTTACAAGGATTCATATCAGTTTGATGTTCTTACTGTGTTTTGGTATCATTAAATAAGGCCAATTCATAAAAATTTGTTTAAAAGTTTAATTAAGTGCTACCAATGTTCAATACAACCCTATTCATAATATTTCTATCTTCACATTTACTAGATGTATTTTTATTTGATGCAGTAAATTTCATGAATAAATACAAAAAAAGTTTAGTTCTATTAAAAAAATGATTTAGTAACTGTTTGCAATATACCAACAATATGTTGTAAGCAGTTCATCACGTTTTACTACTATTTTATTAAACATTCTGAAAAGTTTTGAACATCAGCATGGTATAAGGATGATTGTATTGGTTACTGGAAATATTCAAAATAATAATTAAAAATATAATATAAATATTAAAAATAATAATCAAAAAAATAATAAAATTGAATTTACTTTGTTATTTTCGAGCTTTTAAACTTATTTTTATAACATATTCCCATTATTTTACAATCTTACAATTACAATCTTTTATTTTTTTCTAAAGAACTTCTAAAAGAATTTATTTTAATTTTGTCAATTTTATGCGTTTAGAGGAAAGCAAAAAGAACTATTAGCACATGGTTATTTATAAAGCTCATCGTAAACAGACAATACTAAGGAAGGTCGTCAAGATAATTTTTGCAAAAAATTGAAATGCTATCTCTTTCTTTCTCTAATTTAATTGACCCTTGTTACGCTAATCACTATTACTGTCGCCTATTGATAGTCTATTTTTCTGTAATTGTTAAGCTTCTATTTTTCAAACAGAACTTGAAAATTGTTGTAGAAGAACTTATCCATTAGCCATTTGTTTTTGTTTATCAGGTCATCTTACCATTTATCCTGTCAATAGATTTACATTTCAAGCATTTATGAATTTGGTTATCAAAGTTAGTCAGTATATAAAGCAGCATCTTACAATATACTGACAATGTTCGGTTTTTCAGAAAACATTACGCTCCATTTTAGAAAAAAAAAAATTTGATAATTATTTGTCTCTGAATATAAGAAGCAATTTCTGAAATTCTAGATGATGAATGTGTTCCTATCCACCAGGAGTATGTTTCCTTCCTGTTTTCTTCCTTTAGACATCCCTATAAAAATGTTTTTAAAATATAATTATCTGAATATGAAAATATTTGAAACAATGTGACTTACATACTTTATTCTATGAAAGGACAACCCGTTTTTCCTTTGTAACCTCTAACTTCAAAAACTGCTGAATCTACTTATACTTTTTTTGTGTGTGTGTGTAAAATGGTCCCTGTTGTCTTGATATAGTTTTAAGCTATTAAATTCCTCGATTGAAACTTTCAGAAAGAGTATTCAAAATAATTTTAACCAAATATCTTAGAGTTCTTTAAGATTGCTCAACAATGTTTAAATCAAAGAATTCACAGATTCAATATAAGAAGGTCCTAATTACAATATTATCTATGCAATTAACATAAAAACTAAATCTTAATTTTATCTAATAAGTCTTTCTAAACATAAATACATCTACATAATGTACAAGTATACATGAACATACACATAAATCAGTTGTATTCTAAAGTATATTCTCTCATCAATCCACATCTATAATTAGTGGATGTTTTTAAATGCAAATAAAGATTTATGTAGTTTGAGCTATTTAATATTTTTATAGTTTTAATGAAATTTTGTTGTTGCTTACTTAAAAATGCTATTCTAAACTCTTTTAGTATTGGGCACACCAATATAAAATGAAAGGTATCTTCCGGTTTATTCATGTTGCACAAACAACAATTTCCCCTTTTATCCTGCCACGGTTGGTAAATTAGATGGAAAAGTTCCCCTCTCTCTTTAAAAATTAGCCGAACAAAGTATAAATTGTAATCATTCTGCCTAAAACACCCACAATCATATTCTATTTTGGCATACATTTTATGATATCCTCCTGATCTCGCCCTTTTAAAGTAATCATTCATTTTCTCTTGTTTTAGTAAAGTAAAATGTAAAGTGAAATATAAGTAAAATGTCAAATTTTGTTTCTATTCTTCTAAATGCTCTCATCCATGTTATATTCTTTTCAATCATCAGTTTAGCTATGACACGCGGGAGTCGTATGTGATTTACTTTATAGTGAAATACTTTAATAATATACTCGATTTGCAATTTTAAAGTATAAATATATGGATTATCAAATCCTGTTTATTTGAATTATCTACTGTTTTTAAATTGATATTGTTTTTTAATGAAAATGAAACACCAAAGATCAATTATAAAAAGAAATTGATACAGTTAATTTAAAGTTTTTTTTCCCTCATCTTACTTCAGTTTATTGATACCTGAAGAGAGGACTTTAACCTCTTATTAAAAGTGTCAGATTAAGTGAGATTTTGAAATAAATCATTTTTCTTTTTTTTTTTGTTATTTACTTAGGAAAAAAAAAAATTAACTGAGAAACTGAAAAAAAAAATCCTGGAAGCCATGTAATATTGCATCATTAGATTTCAACTCTTGAGTTTTAAACAAAATCAAATATTTCAAGGTCTTGTAAAGAGATTATTAGTTGCTAATTGGATATTAACCAACTTCAATATTTAGGTCTAAAGTGGATAATCAATTATTATAGTTAAAGAGAATTTGCCCATACCTACACTTCAAAATTAAAATTCTGCTCAATAATTATTAATTAATTATTTAAAAAATGGATACTATTAACATCTATTAATTAATAATAAAATTTATATCTAGTTTTTTTTTCATATATTTTAACAACAAAATAACATTTGAACTTGATTATTTATATTAGAACTTATTATAATAGAAACAGTTTATTGTCTTATCGTATTAAGAACTTATTGCAGTTCTATAGTACTTCAAGATACCATGAAACTCTCGGTTAACATTACTAATAAATGGTAAGATTTTTCCCTTATAGGATTCAAATAACATTGATGGGGTAGCCTGATTCCATCCCATTATTCCACTTCTATATATTCAAAGAGATCAATTATTTCAATGTACTGGAGGGAATCTTGAAAAAAATTCACAGATTCTATTGCCATTTTCCTATTTTCTATTGGTTAATATTCCTGTGGTTTCAAATTAGAATAGATAAATAATTAAAATACATCATTTATAAATATTATGTTTTGCAGTACAGTATTGTTACAGTTGTTAAATCCATGCAGTAGCTGCTAGCTTTACGATTGAGATTATTTGTTGGCATGTATTGTTTTTAAATCTTTCATTTTTAATATTGTAAAGATAAGCTATTTATAGTTGTATTATATTATAGATGGCTTTTGTGGTTATTTGTCATAAATTTTTTGAATCCTAGGAATATTTCAAACAGTTCTATAACAGTATTGTCTCAAATGATTGCTTTCCAGTAGCAGTACTTTAGTCCAATTGAGTAATCTCTAATTATTTCAATTTTTTTTTCTAGCCGCTGGCCCTGGTATGTACACCATGCGTATGCTGGAAGGAGCCAGTGGCGGTGGGGATTCCGATTCTGCTGTCAGCTCGATGGGTTCAGAAAGGGTACCATCACTCAGCTCTGACAATGAGTGGATGGAAACCAACTCTGATAGTGGTCAAGCTGCTGGGGACCATTATCAGGAATATTCAAGAAGGTAAATCAAAAACTTCCTTATTTGTACATACATTAACTAAAGAAAAATATTATATTCCATGAAGAATTACATCAAAATAAATTTATAAATTTCTTTGTTAGAAAGTATAAAGATTTTGTTTAGGAGACAAATATTATAGTGAAAACCATTAACACAAGTTTCTTAGGAATAAATAAAATTTTCTCATTAGCATAAAATTTCATAAATACAATTTTTTTTCTTATATTTTACCTCTTAAATAACAAACCAGTCTATTAACTTATTTCTATCAGTGTAGAATTAAAAAATTGTTTCATTCTTGCAGCAAGTACAGATGGTATGACTATAGTTATGGACGGCAATTGTCTGGAGAAGCTAGCAGTCTCAATCACAGTAGGGGACAACCGCCTGTAGCTCAGAAGAAACACCACATGTATGGAAAGAGGATATTCCATGACCAAGCAACTGGTAAGAAATAATTTCAATAATAGAGAAAATATTTATTTTTAGGCTAATAAAATTTCTTTTTTCCTATTCATGCTTACATAATATTTCTAAGTAATAACATTATGAAATATTAGTGATAATATTATATTATCTTATTAGTTATTATATTATAAATATTATGACTTATTTCTTTAAAGAAAATCAGCCTCTTCTGAAACCCAACTCCAATGTGTGTCCTTGGCTGCTCTGCTCCATTGTCCTTTTTTATCCTGAGGAATTTACATCACACCATTTTCTATACCTAGCCCAATTACCATTACTTTCCTCAATTTATATTCAACACTTTATTGGCAGCTTTATAAAAATCATTAATGTGACATTATCTTTTCCCTGATTCTTTTATCTGTTGGATAACCAATTTTTTAATCATTAAGGTCGTTTTCTCTCCTTTGGTTTAATTAGTTATTACTCATTATTTAATATTCTATTAAGTGATTTGTTGAAGAATATTTAATTATTTCTATTACGTAGCATCCCTCTGTGAACTGATTAATATAAAACAGATATGTGTGAAAGATTGTCCAAGATAGTATGAATTTATAAGCGTTATTTAAGAAGAAAAAAATTGATTATAGTAATTTAATGTTTCTAATAGGAGGAGTGGTAGGAGGAGGAAATATGTGTAGTGGTGGCGTGCCCCTAAAGAGCGAGTACCCACCCAACATGAGCCCAGCGATCGCACCCAACTATCCACTTCACCCAGAGCTCAAGTACAGCTGCAGTGTTGAGTTCTCCAGGCAGGCCCTTTCACACCCAGGTCAGGATTTACTAATCCTTAATCTTTCCTTTTACCTCAGAATATAATATATAAATATTACATTAATATAAATATAAATAAATATGAGATTATGATTAGAGGGTGTTAAAAAATATAAAACAATTAATTTATTACTGTTTTAATGTGAATTTGGCATTCTTCTTGACTATCAAATCAAGAAATTATATAGGAACAGCATGATTACAAAACAATAAATAAAGTAAACTTACACAGTTACAAATATAACATAGAATACAATCTCTCTCTCACTCTTTCTCTCTCTCTCTCTCTATATATATATATATATATATATATCCTTAATACCCTCTTTTATTCTCTTAATCCGAAAACCTGTTACTAGGGTGTGATTTTATCTAAAAATAATTTTTTCTTAAATCCACTTAATCAATCATGTTCCCACAGGCGTATCTACACGAGAGAGGGCTTTCGGGCTGAACCTCCTCTCCAAAATGGTAAAATGTAATCATGTCTTATGAAAAAAATATTTAAAAATTATTTCTAACAGTATTATTGTTTGTGTAATTAAATTTAATGGGACTTCAAGAAACACTTAAACACCATTTCATATAGGTAGATAGTTTCTTTCTTTTTCTTCCAAAGTAATCTTCGTCATATATATATATATATATATATATATATATATATATATATATATATATATATATATATATATAAAAAAGTAAGCTTTCGGGCTGAAGCCTTTCCCAAAATTGAAAAATTTAGGCCTGGATCCGCTAATGAGTGCATGATCCTATCAGTATATAGCAATGTTCATCCTGTGGCACATAACTGTTTTATTTTTCTAAACTGTTAAAAATTCCTCTATTCCTAAACTCCTACTATCCTTTTGAAATTATATAGATTTTCATTTAAATTTTATGTATATATTTTTTTTTTATTCCTTATTATTCCTCTCTTCTAGATTTTCATTTATATGTTTTCAATGAAGTTATCTGTATTGTTTTATATGTTGCTGAGAATTTTATATTTATAATTACATTAAATATACACATTGAAACATTTTTAGCACGTTTAGCTCTAATCTTATGTTTTTTTTTATCAATTTCTAACACTTTTTTAATTGATTATAGGTGTTCGTTCCACTCCCTCACAAATAGCTGCCCATAACCACACCTACCACATGCTCCCCGAGGATTGTGGTTCACAACAAAGACCCCTGGCTAGAGATAAAAAAGGTATAAACTAATGAAAATCCCATCAAATATTTTATTTGAGAAATTTTCATTTACAAAATATATACATTCATATAGTATTTATAATTCTGATTCTTGCAATTTATATATAAAATTTTCAGGACGAAAGAGCGAAGAGGAAACACATTTGACACGGGACGAAAGGAGAGCCAGGTCTCTGAACATACCGATACCTGTTGAAGACATCATCAACCTTCCAATGGATGAATTTAATGAGAGGCTAAGCAAATACGACCTTTCAGAAACACAACTCTCCCTTATCAGGGATATCAGGAGGAGAGGCAAGAACAAGGTACTTATCTCAAGGACAGTTATTTAACTGTTTCTTTAAAATTTAAAAATCAAGTTCTAGAGATTTGTTCATGTATTACAAATTTAAAAAAAAAATCATTTTCCAGCTTAAGTTTTTAAAAAATTATTGTTGATCTATAGTATTTTAAATTAATTTTCTCTCTGGTAATTGCTTAAGAAGTATTGTATGGCAAGCTACACATCATGATCAACCATACTTCAGTTTTCAAAACGTTTTCCCTTCTTTTCATTTTTGTTATTACATATTCGATAAGTTCTTATCCAAAAGTTTATCCTTTTCCTTATAGTTTTGTATTAAAATACCATTACTGTACAACAAAGAAATAATACGAATACTTTCCTTAGTTTTTTATCTTGATTTTTCATTTGTGGTGATAAATAGATAATTAAGTAATTTATTATACTAAGAGTAATGGATGATTTTTACTTGCTGTTCTAAAGATATTTTGAATTCTTTTTAATTAACATTTGAAATTTCAATTGTTTAGTATGATTATTAATTTAATAAATGTTTCATTCAAAGGTTGCTGCACAAAACTGTCGTAAACGCAAACTTGACCAAATCTTGTCATTGGCTGATGAGGTCAAACAGATGAGGGAAAGGAAGCAAAGATTGCTTCATGAAAGACAGGTCCTACTCAGCGAGAGGCACAGAATGAAGAGCAAGTTCTCCCAGCTCTACAGGCATATATTCCAGGTGGGCAAAAATTATATTTCTCTCTTTCTATTCAACTTTGCCTTGGCATATATTACACTTGGGCAGAATTTATTTGAAATAATATTTACGAAATAAATTGTCAAATAAATACTAAATAGTATTTATCAAATAAAATAGAACTTATTTGACCGCACCTCCCTCCCCCCTCCTCCCCCGACCAACTCCTCATATTTCTGAAATAAATTATTTCAGGGTTAATGACATAATTATTTCTAAAATGATTATTTCAGAAATAAAGTTCTGAAATAATCATTCTAATAGATACAAAAGGAAATGAAATAACCATAATAAAAATCCTACTGTTCACTCTAAATTTAGTTCCTGTTTATGCCCCTGTTTTGTTTTCTGGACTTAAGGCATTATATTTACTGCTGTTTTAGACACTTTAGAGTGTGCCCGACAGAATTTTCATTTTTTTTATTATTTTTTTTTTATTTCTTGCTATTAGACTGACTTGAGACATTATATTTACTGCTGTTTTAGACACTTTAGTCTCTTTGGAGGCTAAGTGTGCCCGACAGAATTTTCATTTATTTTTTTTATGTTCCCTTTTATTTCCTGCTATTAGACTGACTTGAGACATTATATTTACTGCTGTTTAAGACACTTTAGCCTCTATAGAGGCTGAGTGTGCCCGACAGCAATTTCATTTCACTTATACCCTTTTTCGTTTCCTACAATTGGACAGATTTGAGGCTGTATATTTAATGCTGTTCGAGACATTTTAATGTTTGTAGGGGCTGAATGTGCCCGAAAATTTTCTTTTTTTTTTCCTACTCATCTCAAGGCTCAAATCTGTCTAACTACAAAAAAAAAAAAAACCTAAAGGGCTATAAGGAAAAATGAAATTTCTGTCGGGCACACTCAGCCTGTACAAAGATTAAAGCGTCTCAAACAGCAGTGAATATAAGTCCTTAAGGACGTCTAATTGTGGGAAATAAAAAAGAAACATAAGGAAAAATGAAATTTCTGTTGGGAGCCCTCAGCCTCTACAAAGTTTAAAGTGTCTCAAATGGCAGTGAATATAATGCCTTAAGTCCGTCTAATTGTAGGAAATATAAAGGAAACATAAGAAAAAAATGAAAATTTATGGCTGCCACACTCGTCCTCTACAAATTTGAAAGTGTCTCAAACAGCAGTAAATATAATTCTTGAAGTCCGTCTAATTATAGGAAATAAAAAGGGAACCTAATTAATAATGAAATTTCTGTCTGGCACATTTAGCCTCTACAAAGATTAGAGTGTCTCAAACAGCAGTAAATATAATGCCTCAACAGCCTCTAAAAAGATTAAAGTGGCCAAACAGCAGTAAATGTAATATTAAGGTGGTCGGGCACACTCAGCCTTTTGAGCTGGATACCTGTAGGTATTGGGCCAAATATGCACCCTGTGGTCATTGTCTCCGGCGGATTAGAGGTTGATCGGGTAGGGTTATACTATATATTTAAATATTATATTTTTTTTGTATTGATGGATTTGTTATGTTATTTCAGAACAGAATTAGTTCAGAAATAATTATTTCAGAAATATATTTTGTAGTTATTTCATCGAGTTTGTTGCATTGGCAATTTGAAATATTATTTCAGGAATAATTCATTCATAAAATAATTATATGATTTATTTCAGAAATAAATTATTTCAAGAATGCCCAGGTCTAGCATATATATGTTACACAGTTTTTGTAAATATCTCTAAAAGTATAGAGTAGGATGATCTGATGTATGATGATATTCCATTCACTCAATATATTTATTTGCAGTTCACAAATATGACTCATAATAATATTTAAATAATATACATATTTCTTTCACTAAATTAATTTATTAATACCTTTCTCTTACAGTCTTTAAGAGATCCAGAAGGAAACCCTTACTCTCCCTATGAGTGGACATTGCAGCAGTCAACCGATGGATCTGTAGTCCTCATTCCTCAGAACAACAGAACATTGTCCGCAAACCAAGCAATGCTGGATCAGACGGACTCACCAGCCAGGAAGCCCCATAATCCTTAGCCTATCTGGAGTAAAATCTGCTCAACTCAACCAGTCAACTAAAACAAAAAAAAACTATATGCTCACATTTAGCTCTTGTGAAGATCTTACTTGCTGAGTTTAATTGTTTTTGTATTTTAAAAAAATACTTTTTATCTCACTTATATGCATTTTAGAGCAGCATTTTTAACTTTTAACTATTTTTAAAGTATACTGAAAAATTCGACTACTTTCCCTGTATTTATAAAGTATATGTATGCTAGAGGAAGCTGCTCATTTTCAAATTGAATAAAACAGAATCGTACTTAGGGCTTAGTACTTTCAAAGTTTATTTTTTCAAAGGTAATTTAATAGTTAGGTTGAGGGGATTATTAAGGACTTTAAAGTGTGTAGGGTATGAATGTGTACATTGTTTGAAGTATAACTAATACATGCGCTACCTAACTGGAAATAGCTTTTGCAATTTTTTTTAAGCTATTTCTAATTTAATTAATTAAACAACTCAAAACAATTTCGAACAAAACCAGGCTGTAAATAATTTATTTCTTTTGTTTGATTTTAAGTTAAATGTTATTATTTTATTTTTAATCAATACTATTTCATCATTCCATGGTCATCAAGTGTGAACTGTGATAAGCATTTACCTTTTTGGGTCATTTTTAGTTTTCAAAGTTTTTTTTTCTTTTTTTGTTTGTTATATCTGACAACATTTAGATTTTTTTTCTTTTTAGTCATTATTTGTTATAATCATGATATATCATAGTCAATTTAGCAGGCTAATAGAAACATCAAAACCATTAATAATCTAATAAAAAAAAAATGAAAAATTGTAATTTTAATGTTATCATTGCTTTAATTATTTTTCAATAATCCTAATTTCTTTGACCGGCTTTTTTTTTCATAATTTAAATGTTTTCTTTTTTTAGCATTGATAATTAACATTATATTATAGTTTATCATTGATTTTGAATCATAACTGTTATAACATAAAGTACCTGTAATTCCTGGACTCAGTGATAATTGTGAAATCAAAGTAAACATTTATTTAGCTCTTTTAAGTTCAGAAAATTAACAGAAAGTTCAGAAAAAGCAAATTAATACAGCATGATTTTAGGTAATACCTTTTTTATTTTAATTTACATATTTTTGTATTTCTGGAACAGTTAGAATTATAATGAAAAAAAATTATATCAGTAACAATATGTAATAATACAATTTTTATGTAAGACAATTTGGTTTCATATAATTATTTTTGTTTTGTAAAATACCTATAGTTTGTGTGTTGTGTTAAATCTGTAAGAGCATAAAGTTTCCATGGACGTATTTGCAAATATTTCACTGAGTGCTATAAAAACAACCAACAAATACTTTAAATTAACTCTTTAAAAGATTGTTATAACTTTATTTTTTTATTTTGTATAAATTAATGTTTTGTGTATTTATTTATTTTTTATTTGTTGAGTTATTTCACCGTAACTTGATTGTTATTTCAATTAAAGGCTCAAAAGTTTTGAGTCTATGAACGATTATACATGAGCTCAAACTAAGACCAGTGTAAGTCGAACTGAAAATTTTATTATATTTAGAAGTATATTTAATAATAAAACAAAAGTTATTTATATGTATATTAAGTATATATAAAATATATATTGGTGCAATGCAAATTATTTATATAAAGTTTGTATATGTGTGTGCTTAGAATCATAGCTAGAGTTTTGCTCCATTCACCTGTGTGAGCTGATATATTTTGGAAAATTTTCTAAAATCATTAGTAGTGTCAAACAAGGGCCTAAGTATCGAAGTGATAAAACTGTAAGTTCTTGCCCTAGCCTTTGTTAATAATAATAATGTGATTAATGGGTACAGGGAAAAAAAAATCCATTTAGATGATGGTGAACTTACTGACAAGAAATTTTGTAGTATTTTGTATATAAAAACAATAGTCCTCGGATTATATGTATATTATAGTTGATATTTTTATAAATGTGAAAAATGTATGAGAAAAAAAATGGAGGATCCGTTGGAAAAAAGGGAGATTGATCTCTGTAAATAGTGTGAATTTTTTATGTATTTGTCCATTATTTTTTTTTTTTAATTGTATACAGTCTAGTGATTTGTTGAGAAATTAACGATTATATAATAAATTAATGGGTAACCTTATCTTAGTGTTTGATTCCTTTGTTTTCCTTCTATATCTCCTGCATTAATTCTTTCCCTCTATAATAGAGTGAAGAATACATGTGGTGTGAGAACTCAAGCTTCCCCTCGATGATAATTTTCTGTTAAAGGAAAAGAATTTCATGCCGGAGAGGCAGAAACTTTTCTCAAGTTTACCTCCCTCTTTTACTGTAATTATTTTTTTTTATTACAAACCAGAGAAAATAATTAAGATTGGTAGGTTCCCTTTCAATGTAGACTGGCATACTGTTCTAATAACCAAAAAGAACCCAGATTTAAAGAGCCTGTTGTGTTGAAATTTTAACGAGTGTCTTATTAGTATTTGCTAAAAGGACAGTTCAGTATAAATTATCAATTGTGATAAATTAATATATTTACATTACAACTAAGACTTTCCTAAATTACTGAAGCAGTAATTAACACATTTATTTTTCACTTCTTCATGTATTAAAATTCTCTACAGTATTATTTTACTATTCATGCAATCAAAATACCTAAAATTAATAAGTTTCATACTTGAACAAGAAAAGTTGTAGTGCGTGCCAACGTCAAGTAGTAATGAATTTATTAACTTTTCTTAAACCATAAAAGATGCTAACTTTTTTTATTACATGAATTTGTGTTCTATTAAACCTTAAAATGTAACAAAAGAATCTATAAGTTAAATTAATGTACAAAAATGATAAATTATTTTTTACTTAATCTATTTATAGTATGTTAACAATTATTTAAAAAATATTGGAACAATTTATGAAAGAAATCAGATTTCTTCTGTTGAATTTAACACATACTCAACTACTAGAAAGGAAAAAAAAAATCATGTGCCATTTTTAAAATCAAATACCCATTCTTTAGTTTTGATTGTTCCTTTTAAAGACTGTTTGATCAAAATTCACCATTAACAGCTGTATCAAAATCATTATATCATTGTACTATTCTGGTATAAGTTAACATTGCATAAAACTTACTAGCTAAAATTAATTATTTTAATACGCTTTGTAATTTTTTTTTAAATTTCTAACAAGTGGCAAGTGCCCCTGGAGATAAGCTGATGCCCTTGGAAAATTGTCCCAGTTACTCCACCCTAAGAGGAGCACCCCAGGGCCAAGGTTTATAAAATTACCAGGTTCGGTCACCCAACAATGCGTGGTGGGAGAACTTGAACCGTGACTTAAGGAGTAGACCGCCAGACCTACCTATTGCCTTTCACTAAAGGTTTATTTCAATATTTCAGTGGTTTTTATTTCTTGTTTAATATATTCAAGACAATGTTTTTCTGTGTTTTTTTATCTTTAATTGAACATAATTTCAAGTAGATAAATAAATAAATAAGACTAGCAACTTTGAATGAAATTCTATGAAAATTATAAACCAGACCAAAAACGAAAAGAAGGAAGTTGATACTAAGATTATTTTCAAATTCTTTATTTCAAAATCACTAACTGTAAATAATATACAAATACATTACATATATAGAAACAAACTAAACTTTATATTTATTCAGAGAAACAAAATAACATTTACATAGTTTTCTTTTAGATCTCGCGAATATTTCTTTTAATAACACAAAAAATTCATAGTAACATTATAAGGATGGAAAAATTGTCATGATTTGTAGTTAAAATTTCTTTAAAATAAAAAATTAATTAATATTTTTAATGTTGGGTTGATGATTGACTGTCGTGAATAATGAAGAGAAGGATGGTTGGGGTGATCAGTCACAAATAAAATGGCAAAAATAAATAATATTTATTTTAGCATTTGCCGACGTTTCGACCTGCTGTTCAGACCTTCATCAGCACTGTTCGAAGAGATTGCTTGAATATACATAATTAATATTTTTAATTTAAAAAATTTTAATTAATCTTTTTTGTAATATAAAAATCAAATTTCTAATTCAAATCCTGACATTTTTTTTTCATCCTTGTAATTTTGATAGTCAACTACTTACCCAACTCTGTAATTATAACATTTTACAGAGAATTTGTTTGTTTTTATTAATATTTCTTGCATTTTTCATAATAACATAACCATTAATAGAATCTTATAGAATGCCGGTACAAAGTGTGCAGTTGCATTTTGCAACAATGATATAATTTTAAAAATATAAAAAAAAAATTGTCTAATTTATTTCTTATAAAATAAAATGTAGAAATTTAAGAATACTAGTGGTAAGTAGTAAAGTTTCTTTTAATTATATGTAAAAATGTCATATTTGCAAATATTCATAGAAAGAAAATGCTTCTTTAATTTTGGATTAAATACTTCTTTTTTAAAAATAGTTCTATTGTTTTATATTTATTTGAAGTATTAAAAAAATAATTATGGTAGTATTTTGCATTTATAAAAACAAAACAAAAAAAATTTATTAAATTACATTTCATTTGCTAGAGAATAAACAAAATAGCAAATAAACCTTTTCCCCACTTTTTACATTTATTAATGTTAATAAGTTATTATACGTTAAAGTATTGATTTTTTTTTTTTTTTAATCAACTTTATTCTGGGACAAAGTCCCTTGAGAATAACAATATCGTACATAAAATTAACATTACATCTGGCCAAAATGCATATTACAATAAAAAAACAAAAAAAACTTGGATTTTGATCTGAAATGAATCAAAAACAACTAAAAAATAAGCGATAAAAGAAGTATTTACATAACTATACAGATATAGTAAAGACATAATATAAGCAATAAGGTCCTAATACTGCAAAATAGTTGCTATAAACAATTAATGTTAACAATTGAATTATAAATGAGCGACAAATAACTTTTGTTGTCATGCCATTCATTGTATTAATGAAAAAAATAATAATAAAAGAGTGGATAAACATTTACTTTAAATGATTTACATATGTATCTTAGTATGTTCGAAGAATACAATAATAGTATTGTCAACATTATACAAGTTCTATATAATCTAAATCCTATAGATAATATACATATAGGGGAGATTATATACATATATAATATACATTATAAATGGCTACCCAGCGTCTGATTGAATTGTAAGGAGGAATTGGAATGGGAGGGTTTTAAATGTGGATAAGGATGGTGCATGGCGGATTTTAAGTGGGATGGAATTCCAAAATGTGGTGGAGTGGACAATAAAGGAGTGTTGAAATGAGGCCGATTTGTAGAAAAGGGTATAAACGTCGGAAGGAAGAGATCTTGTGGAGAGGGAGTGGATAGATGACTTGAATTGAAGGAGATTGAATGCGTAGGACGGACGATGATTATAGATTATTTGGTAAAGGAATGTACCTAGGAAATACTGTCTTCTGAAGGAGGGAAAGAGCCACCCTAACTCGGCGTAGTAGTGGGTAACATGAGAACGTCTCGATTTTATGTAGATAGGTAAATAATAATCTTAAAACTTCCAGAAACAAGGGCCAGAGGGATGATATCGGTCTAGTGGTTACGTCAGAGCTCGATTCCATCCCTCCATTTTCCTTCTGAGTGAGCGAACCTGGTAGTTTTAGAGACCTTGACCACCCTGAGGCCAGCACTATCTGTCATAAAGATTTGATCTGCAAATTGCTTAGAAATGAGCAAATTTTGTAGACAGTTTCAAAGCATCCCATCACAGGGTATAAAGTATTTCATTTAAGGATAAATAAAGAACACTCTTGTTAAAATTATATGTAACTGGTTAGAGATGTTATAGTTGTGAAATTTTCAACAATTTTGTGGCCGCTCACATGTGTGTTATGGCCAGGCCAACTGTTAGCGTCCGCTCACACGTCTTCAAAAATATTGGCAGCCCCTGGCTATATTTGACTGTGTAGACATGTGCCATTTAAAGTGTTAATATTTGAACTTCTATTATACCAATTTTTATTATCTTAGATATGTTTGAAGAAATAAAATCATGTTTAATGAAGAAAATAAAATAAATGGAATCAATCAGTAAATATACATCTAAGCAAATTGGCTTCATATTCTTTCTTGAAAAATTAATTTTTTTGAATTCACTAATTATTACTATTTAACTAATAGATCTGGAATGGTGCTAATTATTAATGAAAGTTGATTCAACTGTATACACTCTGGAATAAAAGTATTCTTAGACCATCTTTAAACAAATAAGAGAAAATTAGCTATTTTCAGGACAAAATTTAAAATAATAAAACCATTTATTACAAACGACATGTAAATTATATTCATTGTGTTACAAATAAATTATTCAGAATAACATAACATAAATACGAGTAAAGTATTCCTACAAGTTATAATTATATTCCTAAATTTACTCTATTACTAGATTAAAATTTGTATTAATGTTCAACAGGACCACCTTTGCCTTTTAGTTTATATTGAAAACATTTTGGCATTGAATTCACTAAGTTAATCATCAACTCAAGAATTTGATTCCGACACTCATGATACTCTTAACAATATGGAAATTACAAACATTTAATTTTCTGAATTGTTTCTTGAGATATCTTCACAAATGATTTAGAGCAGGAGTCTCCAAACTATGAGCAGGATCCCTCCTCTTGTACCCCCAGTCCGAACTCTGTTACATTGTAAAATTTTCAAAACTTTTTATCAAATTTTAAGTTTAACACTTCTTTGAAACACAAGATGGTGTAATCAGAAGTGCCTAATATATTCTATGATATACATGTCGTGCATGAAAATTGGTATTACCAAAAATGGACGAATCACCTATACCAATCTTTATAATTACATGAATGATTTTGGTTTATTAATGATGAAAATAAGTATAATTTATAATGATAACTAATTTGTTAACATGATCATGGTTTTTTCGGATGTAAGGGACCACTGTAATTAAGCTATCGACCTTGAAGGGTTTGAGATATTGAAGACTCAAGGATCATTTATGAGCCGATGGTCAATGAATAAGGGCAATATTATTAGGAAATATATCTAATTATGATGAATTACTTTCTACTATCTTAAAATCCCATTAACCATTATGCTCCTAACAATATTCCAGTAAAATTAA